CCCCTGCACTGCCAGGAGCCCGACTGCTGCGGCAAACCACGGCGGCGAGTGGACCAATGTCCCGTGGAAGATACTTGTCATCCCATGAAGGATACTCGTCCCCCCGTGATCCTCCATCCCCTGCCACCACAGCACCACTACATCCCGTGCTGCCGCCCAACCATCCAGCGCCGCTGCCCAGCCGTTGTGCCACTGCCCCTGCCTCCCAGCCAGCACCAGCAAAAGCAGGTCACTCTCTTGCCACCTTGTCTGCAGAAGAAATGAGGACTGGGACCTCTCCCCACATGCCGCTCAGCGTGGAGGATGTTCTCAAACCACTGATGTTCCCACCTCCGTTCTCGGCACGATGTGATGGTGCCGCGGTGGGTGGCTCTTCGTTGCTCTTTGCACACTGGATTGAGGGTCTGCAGTCCCCTGCTTGACCCCAGCACTGACACTTTAAATTCCCAAGGTCTTCCCTTGCCAGGGAATAGGATTTAATCATCAAAACCTCAATTTGTTCTTCCTCGGGGCTGTTTCTTCCTTCTTCTGAGAAGGTGAGAAGCCTGGGGATGGTGAAACCGAATGGAAAAAGCCTGAGTGAGGACGGGGAAACAGCCAGCGATGGATCCACCTTCTCCCATGGGTTCAGGACTGTGATTTGAAGGTTGTTTGAAAAAACAGACAGGACTAGCCTGGGAAAAAAATACACACTGGGATGGCAGGAGCATCAAGGACTCCTGTAATTTTATTTTCTCCTTGTATATTCAAGAATAAAGTTGAAAAAATTTACTTGGCACATGATTCCTTTTTTTTTATCCCCCCCCCCAAAATATTACCAACATTACAATGAGATGTTAAAAGGTATTAAAATTCTTCCAAGGAAACTCATAAATTTAAAATCTAAATTCTAGAGTTCACACCTGAGGGTTTCTGCTCTGGTTGTAGCGGTTTCACCAGGTTGAACTTCATCCACGTGCTGTGAAAACTTCTCCACTGTGGTTACCCACCACAGGACCAACAGATGAACTTCACCGTGGTCCATCAGCAAGTGATCTAGGTACAAATAGTTTGTTCTATAATATGTGCCATCAACTTCATCAGATCTCACCGGGAGGCCATCCATCATATAAGTGTTAACGATGATAATCAGTAGGTGTCCCAGCACGTGAGGCGTGGCTGGACATGCCATTAATGCCTTTCACTCCTTGTAGGAAGCTGCAGGCCAGGTTCTTCCCCTGAAGCTCCCCAGCTTTTGCAGACACAGGGGTAACGTGCTGTTTCGTTCTCACTTTGCCAGAAAAACCTTTCATTAAAATCTATATTGTTGTTTCTTTTTATTGCCTAAGCACAGCCCTTGTGTGTCCTCACAGCCACGTGAAACCACCAAGGAAAAGCAGGAAGAAGAAAGAAAAAAGAAATTAATTCTTGTTTTCTTAACTCAGAAAACCACAAGCATTTCTTTTTCTCAGGTCTAATTTGAACCCATTAAAAAACCACGTACATATGAACTTGAACTTCAGAAATCTCTGATTTTATCAGCTGTTTTCCTCCCAGCTTCTTCTCACTGAAGCCAGTTCCCAGGTATTGTCCCTGCACAGTGTCCCAGGGGCTGACTCAGAGCCCACAGACCAGCTTAACCCTCACACCGACATTTCCAGGTCAGCTTTGGTCCATCTTTTCTTCCAAGGTGTTTTTCACCAACCACCCCAATCCTCCCATCCCAGTTAGTCCATCCCAGTTGAAGGACCATTTCTCCAGCCTGCCTAGGTCCCATCCTCCAGCAGTTTCAGCCATTCACCCCAATTCAGTGCCACATGTGGATTTGCCAAGTCCACCTCGTTACCCAGGGCATTAATGAAGATGTTAATCAGCACCAGTACCAGGAGCAGCCAGTTTTTCACCCACCATGTGGTTCACTCATCCACTCCATACCTCCACCAGTATAACTACAAAGCTGCCAGGAGAAACTGTGCCACAAGGCTTGCAAAAGCTGAGGTAGCACCATCCCTCACACTCCACCATCCACATTAGAATCCTAGTGGTTGGAAAAGACCTTTAAGATCATCAAGTCCAACCATAAACCCAACACTACCAATTCCATCCACAGAGCCAACCTCTTCATCTCTGAAACCCATCAGCGTTATTTGCTTTCAGTGACTCTGAGTTGGCTCTTCCCAATCACCTGTTTGTGCTTCAGGCACTTGGAAATGTTCCTCATGGGTAGCAGAAGGGGAAGGTCGGGACATTAGTACTGTGCACATGGTGGCTCCTGACTCATAGGTCACCCGTCAGCCTCTACTCAGTGTCTTGGTCCACTGGAGATGGTGAATAAGGACGTTATTACCTGTCTCATATAACCCATGCGCGGCATAAACGATGTGAGTCCTTTATGTGCCCCATTCGGTAACTACATTGTAATTAAGAGATGCTTATCAAGAATTATGAGTCAAGCAGAACATGCCAAGTGCTGGGAACAGCATCCAAATGGAGGAGATGTTTTGTCAATAAATAATTTAATCCTCGTTCCTGCAGCGTGTTTCATTTACGAGGGGAAGACTTAGAACCATATAAAAGGTCTCGGTCCCTTTGTCTCTCACAATCTGCTCTCCTGGTCAGCATCTGCCTTCACTCGTGAATTGGGTAAGACACATCCTGGAGCAGCCAGGTTCATTTTTGGATGGGTGTCTGGATATTCAAAAGGTCATGGACCTGGCAGGTTTGCACTGTCCTTCAGACCGTGCTCTACACACAAGGGCTAGAGGATGGTGGGCTAAGCCAAGAAAGAAGCTATTGGGGGACTTGAGGGTGGGATGTACAGCAGTGCCACTATCTGCTGGTTCTTGGAGGGGAAAAAAAATACAAAGGTAAGATCAGAAAGAGGGTTTGGACATAATATGACCAGTATTGGACAACTACAAGGCCCTTAGATCCAGGCCTTTAGATCTTTTAGATCCAGGTCTTCAGGATAAGCAAGGTTGACCTATGAATGGCTCATTAAAGCAGCTTCATGGGAAGTTAAATGAAACCAGAGGAGATGGAAATGCAAACCTATCTGTCCATGTGTCTTTCAGGTGTTTTCCCTACAATTCCAACATGATATACTCTTCTGGAAGAGAATCATACTTCAACTTGAACTCAACCTGGTATGATCCTGCAGGATCCTGGTTGGATACTCGTCGTACACCTTTCTGCTATGGCTATGAAACCTGCTCCTCAGGGTGTGATGGTGAAGGTGTTGAAGGCATGAGAGGCCACAACTACCGGCATTATGGTTATCGGCAGCCAGTCTGCTCTGAGAGATGCCACGGCTATGCCACGGGTGGTTCATGCCACGAAGGTGGGGACTCAAGCTGTGTCAGGAGGCCCACATACAGCTATGGGTCATCAGGAGGATGCAACAGCTATGGGAGGTCAGTCTGCTCTGAGAGATGCCATGGATCATCAGGTTCATACCAGGGAGGTGGTTCGAGCTGTGTCAGAAGACCTACATACAGCTATGGGTCATCAGGGGGATGCAACAGCTATGGGAGGTCAGTCTGCTCCGAGACGTGCCATGGATCAGGATACCAGGGAGGGAAACCATGTTACACCAAGCCCACGCAGCGTGTCTCTCAGTGCTGCCCAGTGCAGACCTGTCCACCTCCAGTGCAGACCTGTCCACCTCCAGTGAAGACCTACCCCACTCCAGTGAAGACCTGTCCACGTCCAGTGAAGACCTATCCCATTCCAGTGCAGACCTGTCCACCTCCAGTGAAGACCTACCCTGTTCCAGTGCAGACCTGTCCACCTCCAGTGAAGACGTACCCCGTTCCAGTGCAGACCTGTCCACCACCAGTGCAGACCTGTCCACCTCCAGTGAAGACCTACCCCGTTCCAGTGCAGACCTGTCCACCTCCGGTGCAGACCTGTCCACCTCCAGTGCAGCAAGGCTGCATGCCTGTGACAAAGTGCATCCCAACCCAACAACAAAAGCAGGTCTGTAAAGTGCCAGCCCGGAAAATAAAGTAGAGGACAACAGAAGTGAAGATGAATGAGAGAAACTTCTCACCCTTGCACCATTCCCTTGATGGTCAGCATGTCCCATGTGGCTCAAGGATCTCCACTCTTTCTGTCACTTTGCTTGTACCATGCTTTGAAGGTGTAACCCACTGTCTCTGTGAAATGTGCAATGCTTTTCACCTCCTTATTTCACAGCAGACAGTGGAGGCAATAAAAAATAACGTTTCATAACCCCCCCTTGCATCAGTGTTTTCCACTTCTCCTCTTTGCATTGCTCCTGGTCCTTCTTGTGGCCAAAGCTGGTGGCTGCAGCATCTCCATTCACCCTCACGTCAAGGTTCCTGGTTGATTCAACCCGTTGTCTTTTTATTCCTCCTCCAGACAACTTCCTCATGGAGAAGGAACTAACAGTTTTCATCACAGGGTTTTTATGCAACCTGGTAATTAAATACTAAGGTAAAAAAAAAAACCCACACACTTCATCAGAGAGGTGAAAATGAGAAGATCTGCTTGGTAGGTTCTTTTATTCACTGACAGGGCAATGGCTGCAGTTTGACTTGTATCAGGAGCCTCCAAAATAAATCCTGGAGAAAAAAAAGTCAGGAAGAGGGTTCAGGAAGAGGAATGGCACAGGTAGTGCAGAGCAAGAGGGGCTGCAGAAGCTGGTGGGAGAGAAATGCTCTGGTCCATGGACCATTAGACCATCAAAGATCCCAAGTGTGACAGATTTTGTCTCATCCCAAGGGAGACAGCTCCTTCATGACCTACGTGTCTTCAGCAGACGGTGCTCAGTGCTGCTCTGATGGTTGAGAGATGTTGGGAAAAACTAGGAAGGGGTGAGACCTCTCAGAGCTGAAGACTTTGACCCAAGGAGAAATGGGAATCTTCTGGCCAGGAATACATGTCAAATGGAAGTTAGAAAGGGGTTTGTAGACATCAGGGGGACTTTTAGCTGGACCCGCTCTCTCTAATGGAGCAAAATGCCCCAAACTCCTTGTAGGATATGACCTGGCTGGGTTAGAAAAGGAATCACCGGGCAAGATTGTTGCAGCAAAGCAGGGATCTGGAGTTAGTGACTCACAGCATCATGTCCCAGGTGGCTCCTCACACCTCATCCGACCCAGGTGGCTCCTCACACCTCACCCGACCCACTCCATCATCTCCATCTCCCAGTGTCCTGCCTGGCCCAGCCTGCAGGATGTGACACATTGCAGAATCAGCTGCTTTGCAATATTAACGGTGAAGATTTCTCCTGCAGCACCATCTGGAGAAGGAAAAGAAGTAAACACACCTTCCTGGGATGGAGATTTTATAGGTGGACACATGAGGGCTGTTGACATGCTCTGCCCTGACTCTGCAGCAAACCTTCCTCACCAACCTCTTCCTCACACACATGCAGAAGCTGATGCCACCGTCCATTGCAGAGCACACAGTCCCCACCCCAAGGATGGCTCAGTGGGGTGGCCCAGCCATGGAGCAGCCCAAATGCCCACCTCATGGGCTGTGTGATGGTCGGTAACAGCTCAGCTACCCCAGAGCCTGCAACACCACTTGTGCAGGCCTCAAGGACCTCTGTGGAAAGAAAAGTGCCAGCAAAAGATGGAGCCATAGCAAAGGCATCCAGATCTGCTTTCAAATTCCTTCTGGAGGTTGCTGGCCCATGGAAGAGAAGGCTGGAGTTGTCTGCTTAAGCCATTTTGAGATAGATTTGTCTGATCTCTAACGAGAGGGATTTCACACCAACAATCACTGTCCGAAACAAAAGAGAGGTCTTCTTAGTGTTTAAAACACCTCTCAGGGGTTTAGAGGTTTGAACTTCTCCCTAGGTGTCTCCCAGATCCTTCTAAGATCTTGGGGGGGGGGGGGGTTGTTTTTTTTGTTCTTCATGTATCTCCTTCATAAATAGAAAACCAATAACTGAAATATGGAAGAAACATGACCACATATAAGCCACCCAGAAACCATGATCCAAACTGAGGAACCAACCAGCTCCTGAAACTTGATGTGAGGAGAATTCCTTTCAGAAAACCAACGAATTACCCAAATTGGACAATGTCCATCCACTCCAAATAGGATCAAGGGACACAGGGAAACCTCTCTCAAAGACTAAGAGCTTTGCAGGAGATACTTGAGGCTCAGAGAGCAGCTGTAGGACCAGCACAGCCCTGTCTTGACCATGGGTCCAGTTTTCCAATGTGCACGAGCATCCTCCTCACCAGGCCGTGCTCAGGTGGATGCTTCTATCGCCGAGAGAAATGATAAACATGTTTGTCACCATCCACGTGATCTGGGGTGTAATTAGGGAATCGTAAATAATTGTTTCACAAGAATTTTTGTTCTTCTGACGTTTGTGAAATATCCCCAGCCACCTTCTGATTTCCTCATGTATCGATGATTCAGCTCCATTTGTTAGCGATGAATCTCCTCGACTTTAGATTTTCTTTTCATTCCATCTCTGCTATTCTTAATATTACAGTGGCCTCTAGAGTCCTGGATGAGAGCAGACCTGGTGAGTTCTGTGGGCAGAAAGACACTTTTCTCCCCAAAGCAGAGTGTTAAGTCAACGGAGCCGTGGATCTCAATGCACTCTCCAAAATACACATGAGGATGAAGGTGGAGAGGGAGGAAAGAGCTCAAAGACTCACAAAACTACTGCCTACTTTTTTCTCTGATCAAAGTGTGATCAAAGGAACCCATAGCAGATAGTTGGAACAAGTATCATAGGAATGAGACACAGTTGGAGACCTTTTGTCCTTAAGAACCTCCTGCCTGGATGTTCTCTCTCTCTCTCCTATGGGGTTTTAAATTTCTTCTGTTTTGGTGAAAAGTTTATTTGAGCAAAGAAAGGACTGATGTGAAATATTCCAACACCCCTTTTAGTGCTTCTTTACTGTTTTACTCAGAAATAGGTTTCTCTTTGATGCTCCTCCCCAGCCACAGTTGCCCACTCCCATCATTCCAACCGGACACATCCACAGGAGTTTGCTTCAAAGACTCACATCACCATCTCCCACCTCTAAACCTCAAACTCAAACCTTGGTGACAACTTTAGAGCTCAGAGGTGACTCCACTCCTTTTGTAACCCACTAGGGTTGAGCCCCAACGCTCAGCGGAGGCGGATGGCCAATGTCAGCCCCGGGGGCTCAGTGGAGGACGCTCAGGCACCTTGTTTTCAGGGCACCCCCCACACAGACCAGCCCCAGGCTCTGTGCTCACCTTCTACCGCCCCATCATGTGCTCATACCTGCATCCTTAATTCCCTTTGTCTCCTTCACCCACTCACAACCTAGATTCTTTTTTTCTCAAGCTTCCCAAACCACTCATTTTTCTTACACACCATCATGGACATATTTCTTCTCTTTCAAGGCCCTTTTATCTTCTGGAGGCCTTTGCAACCCAGTCCACCAACCCATCCCACTATCCCATGTTCCCATCTACTAAAATTTATGGATTACCTACTTGGGTTCATGGCTGCTTTGCATGAGGCACCAAAAGCAGGTAAATGCTTTAGTCAAAGGTAGAAAGACCATCTAGAAACCTCCCCATCCCTGCACGTGAACCACACCAGGCGTGGTGGGCAATTAACATTTTTACGGAGTAACGAGAGGAATGGCGATACCAAAGGCGGGATATCGATCAGTGTCTAATATCATGAGTCAAAATAGCAGCGTAAAAACTCTCCAATTAACAAAGTGCTCAAGATGATGAACAATCAGGTCCTTCCAGTGGGAGTTCATCACGTTTCCGGAGGAAAAACACCGGGAGCTCTATAAAAGATCTCGCACCGCGTTTCTCCTCATCGTCTCATCTTCACGTCTCCTCTCAAATTCCAGCTGAACAGGGTAAGTCCAGCTTGATTAAACTTTTGCACTCTTGATGCTCACCAGCTTTGTCCTGATCCTGAGATCTTCACCACTTCTCTTACACCTCTCATCTCTGTGGCTGTCTCTAGTCATAGTTGCTCAATCCTTCTGCCTAGGTTGCCTTTTCCATCCATGTCTACACATAAATAATAGAAAACCACCAGAAAAACTCAAAACTTACTGGTTCAGATGGCTGAGAAGGGGACTGTTCAAGTCTAGCTCTGAACTCTGGCCACCAAGTGCTTCAACTTCTATCTTATGAGAGAAAGGAAAGTCTTAGAGAGCACAGAGTCCTCCACACAGGTCAGGGACCACCACTGGCAGATGTTCACTGCTAATTTTTCTCTCTTCTTCAAGAACCTCATTTATAATAAGAATTTATTCTTGATATATGATCCCATCTAATTCAACATCTATTACTGCTGGCAGATGGACACCACAGTGTCTCTTGCCTTTGCACCCACTCAAAGATGATAGTTTTTCCAGCAGGTCTGCAAAGATGTGCTCCCGCCAGGACAAAGACCAGTGCCACCAGCAAGAACCATCCTCATGCCACAGCAGTGAAGGGTGCCATGGGAGCAGCGGTGGATTTGGATGCCACAGGAGCAGTGGTGGGTCTGGATGTCATGGAAGCAGTGGTGGATTTGGATGCCACAGGAGTACCGGTGGATCTGGATGCCACAGGAGTGGTGGTGGATCTGGATGTCATGGAAGCAGTGGTGGATCTGGATGCCACAGGAGTACTGGTGGATCTGGATGCCATGGAAGCAGTGGTGGATCTGGATGTCATGGGAGCAGTGGCGGATTTGGATGCCACAGGAGTACTGGTGGATCTGGATGTCATGGAAGCAGTGGTGGATTTGGATGCCACAGGAGTACTGGTGGATCTGGATGCCATGGAAGCAGTGGTGGATCTGGATGCCATGGAAGCAGTGGTGGATCTGGATGCCATGGGAGCACTGGAGGAACCTGCCATGGAAAACCACAGGATTGCCAGCAGCAAATTTATCAAGTATCCTCAAAGATGAAGTGATGAGGACATTATCTGCATGTTATACACATGTGTGTCCTTGATCTTGTGCTGAGTTCAGAAGGCTTTGCATGTCTCCTAGCAATCTTCAAAGGAAACATCTCCTCTCCTTCCCCTGGCAAGTCCTGTACCTCTGATGAGCTTATCTGTGGGTGCTAAAATAAACGGTGTATCTTCACGCTGGTGTGGCTTCTTCTGTCTGGGTCTGTGACTGTAGATGAACCATTACAACTCTGAGCTCATGAGTTTTGTGTTCGTGATTTTTCTTTCACATCACAATACAAGACACCTCGTGCTCCTTGAATAACCTTGAAGTTCCCCTGCCCAGACACACTCACACACTCTCCCCTCTGGACTCCAAAGGAGAAGAGAGAGAATAAAGATTTAAATTAAAGGTTTAAATAAAATAAAGATTTTTTTTAAATGCTGACATTTTAGGAGGCCATCTCAGGCTTCTCCTCCTTCCCATAGAGTTGAACATCCAAAATCCCCCATGAAGACCCCATTGCACAAGTCCTCGGGGCTGGCTATGGGCACAACCATGGGGTAGAAAAAGTCCTATAGGCAAAGTCACCCATGATGGAGCCAGAAACCCCCTTTTTTTTGTCATCTGGCCCCAAGTCACTATCCTTGGGGCAGGTATCTCCACATGCTTGTCACAAACTCCCCACCAAACCTTTCTAGAAACCCTTTGCCCGGCACTTCAAGAGCCCTGGGCCGAGCCAGGGGCGTTGCAAGATGCCGACGTTACACAATGAACTGATAAATTTCTTCTTAGCTTGTAATTAAAAACGAATTGCATAATTTATTGGTCTGCTATTGCCATTCATGAACTGGAGGTTGCACCGAGAAGATTATTCTCCAGTGTGTCACGATGATCTGAAATATCTGGCATTGCTGAAAATGGTGCAGACAGGAGCTGACTCGCTGCTCTCGGCGGAGAAATTGTTTGAAAAAGCTTTTTTTGCAAGTTTGGCATTTGCCAGAAACCCCCTTTGCAAACCCCATCTTCAAGGCACGTCAAGGTGGACACCCACAACATCTAGAGGTGCCCACGACTGGGTGTTGCTGAGCTTTAATAAACTCAGAACAATTAAATCCCAGGCTGGATGAGGCTTTGAGCAATCTGATCTAGTGGAAGGTATCCCTGCTGCTGGCAGGGGGGTTGGGACTGGATGAGCTTTAAGGTCCCTTCCAACCCAAACCATTCTATGATTCTATGAAAACATGAGGAACTGAACACAACATCACGTTGAGATCCAAAAATTAATGAGAGTCTTTTTTTAATTTTAATTTATCATCTTTTTTTTCTGACTCCAGAACAAAACATAATTAAACAGAAGTGATCAAACCTGGGGACAGTTTGCCCTGACACTGTTCTAATAACAATTAAATGTTCATAATAACAATTAAGCAATACAAAAGAAGCATGTAGGTTGCGTGCCTGATTCATTAACCCTGCCCTGTCCACCCCTCTTTCCAAAAAATCCTCCTTATTTTGCTAACAGCAAAATGTGTCAGATGTTTTTTGGGGTTGCAGGAACCATTCAGGACTTGAAGTGTCTTCATGAAGGTTCAGGTGGATCTGGATGCGTTCAAAGCTGGAGATCACAAGAGGATGGAGAAGCACCTCAAGGCCTGGTAGCTTGTTTAGTTTTCCTGGAGGATGTCAGGTGTCTCAAACGATATTAGAAAAGGTAACGTGGGGGCTAAACCTTCATCTCACTGTGGTCAGCATCTGGGAATTGCATAAAAACTTCATCAGCATGGAGAAAGAAAAATAAAAGGTGGTAGAAGTGGATCAAAAATGCCAAATGCTTGAGCATCTCTGCAAGGAGGGGCAGGCGCTGATCTCTTCTCTCTGGCCACCAACCAATGCCAGGAGCAGAGGAAATGGCAGGAAGATGTGGCAGGGGAGGGTGAGGTTGGCCATGAGGAAAAGGTTCTTGAGGCAGAGGGTGGTGGAGCACTGGAACAGGCTCCCCAGGGAGGTGCTCATGGCACCAAGCCTGACAAGATTCCAGCAGCATTTGGCCAAGGCCCTCAGGGACATGGTGTGAATGTTGGGATTGTCCTGTGCAGGGACAGGAGTTGGACTCCATCATCCTTGTGGGTCCAACTCACAACATTCAATGATTTGATGATTCTAAGGAAGTGAAATATTTTTCACTCAGTATATTCCAAATATTTTTGCACTGACAACATCAGAGCAGTTCCCTATTTCAGCTGGAATTACTATTTTAATCTTTTATTTAATTATCAAAATGTCTTCCACAAATAGTGACTGACAGAAAAGGGTCAAACAAGATCCATGGTCCTAAGAACTTCCTAACCCACGCAGTAGAAGTACAGGGATTATCTCAACTTATTGCTCTTAATTAGCTCTCACTGCAAACTCAGCACCTGGCCGGTGTGTGGGTCTGTGAATCCATCCAAATAACACTCCAGAATTGTTGGCCAATTACTAGTTAATTAAAGAGTAGTGATAAATGTTCCAAAAATGATGTTCCTATAAGTTTGGAGAAAGTTCTCAAGATCTACTGGCTCCCCATAACATTGCAGCCACCCCAGGTAGCACCCATGGGAGATCTTCTCCTCTGAATGGCAGCACTGAGGTTGGTCACAAGCTGGAGAAAAATCATCACTCTAGCTTTACTCACAGGCTGAAAGTCAACCACATAATTATGTACCTCGTTAATCCCAGCTCCCTACTCAGGGCAGGTCTTTCCTCTTCCAAAAATATGAATCTCAATTGGTTTTGGTCCTTCTCACAAGAGCAGGAAATTTTTGATGGACAAAAAAAGGGGGTTTCTAGGGGTTGTCTTCTCTTTTTCTCCCCCACTCCAGTGTGTTTCAGAGAAACTCTCACTGGTTTTGAGAGAAATCACAAAATCACAGAGTAGTAGGGGTTGGAAGGGACCTCAGGAGATCATCTAGTCCAACCCACCTGCCAAAGCAGTTTGCTTTGCCAACAGTGAAATTGCTGCTAAGGAAGAGTTGTCCACCATGTCAAAGCACATCTCTGGGTTTCTGAGCATTTGCAGGACTAAAGCACCTCAAGCACCTCGAGTACTGGGGGCAGTTTTGGGCATCACAGGATAAAAAGGATCTAAAGCTCCTGGAGAGTGTCCAGAGGAGGGACACAACATTGGGGAAGGGTGTAGACAGGAATAGTATGAGGAGATGTTGAAGTCACTTGGTTTGTTCAGCCTGGAGAAGAGGAGACTGAGAGGAGATCTCCTGTGGGTCTAGAACTTCCTCCCAAGGGGCAGAGGAGGGGCAGGCGCTGATCTCTTCTCTCTGGCCACCAATGAATGCCAGGAGCAGAGGGAATGGCAGGAAGATGTGGCAGGGGAGGGTGAGGTTGGCCATGAGGAAAAGGTTCTTGAGGCAGAGGGTGGTGGAGCACTGGAACAGGCTCCCCAGGGAGGTGCTCATGGCACCAAGCCTGACAAGATGCCAGCAGCATTTGGCCAAGGCCCTGAGGGACATGGTGTGAATGTTGGGATTGTCCTGTGCAGGGACAGGAGTTGGACTCCATCATCCTTGGGGGTCCAACTCCCAACATTCGATGATTCTAGAAGACATTTGAAGAAGATGGTTTGATGTCGGTATATGACACAATTCCCCAGCTGTGACCAACACTAAAAACAACCTGGCAGAGCTGTGGAAACCAAGGCCACCCACACTCCTCCCCCATTGGAGCTAAGCCCAGGTAGAGCCAGCAATTAAATATTTCTGTGGCACAGGAATGACGACCGATAACAAGAGCCGATACCCAACGTGGATGAGATGAGTCACACGAGCAACCTGAAGAGTGGGGAGGGGAAAAAAATAATTAGGAATTGATTAATTAAATGAATAGGTGACAGGGTGGAGCTTCGTTACCAAACGGGGTGGGCAGGGAGGGTATAAAAATGCTCTGGTCCTGGAAAGCTTCATTCCCTCCTCACCTCTTTGCTGCACGAGCATCTCAGGTAAGAACGGAGAAGCTGAGGGACTCTGGGGCTCTGGGTGGTACTGGAAACTCTCCAGGAGGTTGATGGGTTTGGAGAGGGTTGAACCTCGTGTCTTGTACTGGGTTGGGGGTGATGAGCAGGGAGGTGGGGTGAGGAGGGAGCACGGGGGATGCTGAAAGAGAGTAAAGAGATTTGGACTTGGAAGAAGCTTTGGAAAAGCCAGTCATGGACAACCTGCCCCTGCCCAGGATGCTCTCGATGTCTTTGGTGTGGCTTTGGTGGGACAATCCCATGGGTGGTACAAGAGGCTGGTGCAAGGTTTCAAGATGATTGTGGGATCTGGCTAAGATGGGATAAAT